GACCCGTGCGCCCGCCTCCCTCCAAATCAGCCCACACCTCTCAGTCTGACCAGCTTTATTCAAGGTAAAGCACTTCAGTGTGGGGCAGCACACAGGGGCTCAGCACCACGCAGCACCCACTCCCCGCCCCCATGTCCCTCTTGCCACCCATCCCTCTCCTTACAACAGGAGAGGGGCCCCTTTCTTCCCTCCAGCCCCATCAGGGGCATCTGCACTGCAGCAGGGAGGGCAGAGGTGGGGCAACTACACAGTGAGGGGTAGTCCCCCATAACAAGTTGCCTCCCAGGCAGGGTAGGGATATCTTAAATAGGCCCCTACACTGCCATAGAAAGGTGCAGCTCAGTCCAAGAGGGTTAGCACCAGCTTGCAAGCAGCAACAGCACCCCAAGTCCCAGAGGTGCCAGGGGGCCAGGGGCATCACTGCGAGGAGCAATGGGCATCTGGCAGCCACTGCCCTTCCAGCCCTGGTAGCAGTGGCAGTGAAAGTGGGTCCGTAGGAAGAAGATGTCAGCAGAGGACAGCTGGCCCTCAGCCCAGAAGAGGGGCTGCTGGTGGTGGTCTCAAAAAAAAACTGGAAATTGGTAGAATTGAGGTGGAGGAAGACGTCAGCGGTGCTGTCCTGGCGCAGGCAGCGACCCCGGCCCTGGCACAGCGCCGTGCTGCACAGCTCTGCTGCTGTCGTGACATTCACGATGTAGCGCCCCAGGTCCCCCTCAAGGTAGTCCTTGATGGTCTGGCAAGAGTCCTAGGGGAAGGGACGGGCATGTTGGTGTGACCCAGGGGCAGAAGCACCTCAGCCTCGAGCCACTGATCCCTCTCTGAGGGCAGGTGACTCCTCTACCCCTCACCTACCTCACATGTTGACCCCAAACCTACCCGGTTTTTGGTGTCGTCTGCATCACCCCAGAAAATGGCTCCAGCTGCACCCAGTGCCGCACTCTCTCCGATGGTGGAGATCAAGTCTGCCTGTGGGGACAGAGCCTGGTTAGTGCCCACAGATCCCAGCACAGTCTGCTCCAAAGCATCCACTGCAGGATCAGGGAAGCAAGACCCATCCCTGCTCCAGGCTGCAAGGAGGGGAGACTGTCCCAACGCCTTCCCAACACCGCTCTCCTCCTCACGGGCCAAGCCAGCACAGCACAGGGGCTGTGGGTTCACGTACCCCAGGCTCCCAGCTACCGCAGAAGTCTTGTGGTACCTCCCAGGCACTTCCCTGGCAATGGTGACCACTGGTGCCAGTCCTGCTGCCAGACACCTTATCTGGAAGGGGAGCAGTTTGTGGCACTCCATCGTCCAGCCACAGAGGGGCCGAGCTAAGGGTTGGCACACTGTGACACCCCTTGAAGGAAAGGAGGCAGGGCCAGGCACTCCTCCTGCTCCCTGGAGCCAGCCCCATGCCAAACAGTGCCACGCCCCACCCCACATGGAGAGAGCCAAGCCATGGAATACCATGAGGGCAGACACCACCCTCCAGAGCCACCCTGCTCCAGGGGTGGAAGATGGGACGCAGGCAGAGGAAGCACCTTGGCTGACCCCAAAGCCCAGATGCCCAGGGCCTGGGATGAGGATGTCCCAGTGGTGCAGCCCTACCTGGCTGAGCACATTCAGCTTGCGGATGTAGGTGGGCCGGGTGTAGACAAAGACAGGTAGGGAGTAGTCATCGTGGTGCTGCTGCGAGATGCGCATGGCCTCCATCACCCGCGCACGCACGAACTTGCGGCTGTTGGCAGTGGAGTCCAGGAGTGGGTCGAGGTAGATGGAGGGGGAGAGGGCTGTGCTCTCCTTCCACAGCCACACCAGCTGGTCGTTGCGGGTCTTCTCCACATCCGGGCACTGCCCGGTGTAGCTCTCCTTGTTCTTGCTGTAGTCGTGGTTGTAGCAGTCAGGGAAGAGGTAGAAGCCCCAGAGCTGCTTGGGTCGGAAGCTCTTGGCTGTGCGCAGCGTTGTCACCATGAACTCCCGGGCAGCCGACTCAAACTCGAACACCGCCTGCTTGTTCACCTCCTCACGGGACCAGGTGGGCTGACGCTGAGACACCAGTTCCTGTGACACCTCCCGGTATATGTCCTTGGGCTTCCAGTTGCGAGCCCAGATGGGTCGCCACTCCTCCCAGTCGATGACAGCCAGCCCTTCCGTGGTGGAAAAGCGAATGTACTTGTTGATGCCCTCCTGGAGGTGGGCAAGGTGGCTGGACAGGCTGCTGTTTTGGGGGACACCACCATTGACGGCCACACCCTGACGGTTGTAGTAGGGGTAGAGCCCCAGGCGCTCCTTGTAGAAGATGGTGAGGTTTTGCCCCACGAAGCCCTCGTTGGGAGAGGCATACAGGTCGAAGATGCTGAAGTCAAAGGACACGTGGAAGCGGGGCTTGCAGTCCTGGGTGGGCATGTTCCAGGCCACCAGGAAGGGCCGGCGGG